TCTTTCTGGAGTACATCCCTGCTACTCACCAGTACCTCCTTACGATGCAATCTGCTTTCTGGTCAGTTGGACAGGCAGTAGCAGCTTTGGTTGCCTGGCCGCTCATCGCCAATTACTCATGCGATCCAAAGTCTGAGGCTGGCTGCACATACAGCAACAACTTGGGCTGGCGTTACACCTACTGGACTTTCGGTGGTATTACTCTCACCATGTTCCTTCTTCGACTCTTCTTTCGAGTATACGAGACTCCCAAGTTCCTTCTCAGCAGGGGTCTAGATCAGCAGGCTGTTGATACTATTCAGAAGATCGCCGCCAGAGATGGGAAGACCTCGTGGCTCACTGTGTCCCGCTTCGAGTCAATTGACGCTGAACTGAATGCTACCCGCACGGAGACTACTGCGCCGGACAATACCAACAAGGACATCATCAAGAGAAGTTTGCACAAGCTTTCACTTAGCAAAATTCGTGTGCTCTTCTCCAGCCCTCGTATGGCCCTTTCTACAAGTTTGATGATCTTCCTCTGGTGTTCTATTGGGATGGCCTATCCGCTCTACAATTCGTTTATCCCTATCTATCTTGAGAACAAGGGCGTTACTTCAGGTGCCAAATCCACTAACGATGTGTACCGGACTTATGCCATCCAGGCTGTCTGCGGTATCCCAGCTTCGCTCCTTGGCAGTTTCACTGTCGACCTGAAGGGTATCGGCCGAAAGGGTACTGGAACGATCGCTTGCTTGTCAACTGGTGTCTTCCTGTTCTTGTTTACCCGCGCCACTACCCAGGCTGGTGTTCTAGGCTTTTCATGCGCTATTGCCTTCTTTCAGAATCTGGTATACGGACTCCTGTACTCTTACACTCCGGAACTCTTTCCTGCTCCAGTTCGTGGTACTGCCAATGGCTTAGTAGCCCTGTTCAACCGCCTGAGTGGTCTTATTGCTCCTATCATTGCGGCGTATGTTGGCATTGACAATGACTACCCCGTCTGGGTTTCGGCAGCCTTGTTTATTTTGGCTGGTCTAATCTTTTTAGTCCTGCCCTATGAGACCCGAGGTCGCGCTGCGGCTTAAAGTTTGAGATTTTTCTGTTTCTCATAGACACTTGAACAAACTAGGGTATATATCACGGCTAACTAGTTATAGTAAATATAATACTAAAAGTTAGAGCTCTAATATTAAATAAATAATATTAATAATTATAAATACATTATAAAGTGTCGTGATCTAGTATGCATAACTAGAACTAATACGCGCCCTATAGGCCCCCGCGGTTATAATATATTATAACGACTCATATTGTTTAATCTTTATTAATATTATTAATATAAATCTTTTACTTAAAATTAGTTAGTGAATTTCAATTTACTTAAAGCTATCTAGTAATAAAAAGTTGAATAATAATGGTATTTCGAAAAGTATAGTTGAAGATATTATTTTAGTTTTTCGAACGACGTACGAATTTATATTATTAGTATACTTAAGTAAGATCTAGCGGCCATTAGAAGAAGCGTAAGTATTTAGAAAATAATAGGACTGTAGTGGTGCATGAGATCGCCGTATAAAGCAATAGACTCCAACAAAATAATAAATTATGAGCTCCCTTAGCTCACACCCCCAAAACGTTCAGGAACGAGTCGGGGATTAATAATAAGTTTTGCTATTAGGGCAGTACCATTTGGCTATTAGGGCAGTAACCCACTTTTCGGACCAATAAGGGCTTATAAATACAGAGCTCGGACTACTACCCCACACCCGTACCCGCTATATTTACCCACGGGCTACTTAGCGTAATTACTTGCGGTTATAATTACTTATAGTCGTAATTACGTATCGTAATTATATAAAGTAGCTACGGGTACGTATAGTCGCATTTACTTACGGTTATAATTACTTATTAAAAAAAATAGTTAAATAAGTAATTAAGTAAGTAATTATAACCGTAAGTAATTACGACTATAAGTAATTATAACCGTACGTACCCGTAACTATTTTATATAATTACGACGTATTTTTACTAAGTAGCCCGTAAGTAAGTATAGCGGGGCTAAAAAAGTTTAGAGTTCAGACGGTAGGCTCTAATTAGTTTAAAAAGTAGGTTACTGCCCCAATAGCCAAATGGTACTGCCCCAATAGCAAAACTCTTAATAATATAACCTGTCAATCCGATGTCATGGGTCTGAACTTGTGATAAGTCTTCAGCTTACCTCTATAAGGCCGGAGTTCTGCTACTTTTATATCCTCACCTACGGCGTTTCTTTTATTACGAATTGAGTTCTTAAAGAGTAATTTTATCACATCACATCACTTCAATCTGTAAACCAAACCATTTCTCGCTAGCATGCTTGCTTATTCCAGAACAATTTCTATCTTCTCCAGCCCTTTGAAGAAATCTCGTCGATACCCAAAGCCAATGCCTATTCTTTCGAAAGAACCTGTGTCATTCTGATGGCGCAGCAGAAGCATTCCATGTTCAGAGATGGCGAGACAGTGAACCTCCAATAACAGTCTCTCATTGACGTCCTTCGCGAGCCTGCAGTAGTCCAGTTCGGCGACAATCTCCTGCTTTCGCGCCTCATACACAACCAATTTGCCTGTGAGGCAATCGACAGCATGGACATCCTGGCCCGGGTTAGAACCAAAGCTGAACTTATTGACACCGTCCACGCAGACACAAATATCGCCCCACTCTCGAAGCTGTGATCCGGGGCTCCAAAGATTTCTTAGGAGCCCTCGAGCACGGACACGAACCAATTGCGCACCTTGAGCAACCGCTTCTGATGGCTCCACATGCAAACTTGAACCGTCGCCGAGTAACTCCACCTCAGTCGACATCTCAAATTTGTGCCACATACAAGCCCCCAGGCCAATAGGAAGACTCGCCCAAGACCAGCTTGGGATTCCTGCCGTGCCTGGCCATCCTATGTTGAGCCCCGGTGGTCTTGAAACACGCCACAGGAGGTCCTGCGCAAATGTTGCCCGCCATAAACCTGCCACATACTCGTTGTCTCCGGAAACAGCAGTCAAATATCGCGTCGCTAGTCCCGCCAACGCATCGAATCTATCTGCCGGGTTACTCAGGCTCCGCGCCGTATATGACTCTACGACTGAGTTCCATGCAAGCCAGAGCTCCTCTGGTTCCGATATACGGCACTCGGCAAGAAATTTGCGTACATGAATGGTAGAAGTATCTAGAGAGACAGAAGAAGATGTCTGCTCGGCATACTCGCCACGCCCACAAGCCCAGCTGAATCGCTGACCACCCCAGAAAAGCAGTCGCGGCGACAAATGCTCCTCCTGAAGCGTCCATGCCCGAAGGAATAACGGAGCTCTTGATCGGAGACCAGCAGGCGCCGTAGGTTTCACGGTAAGCCAGGAGGTGCCGACGCGGCATGGCTTGATTTGCTTTGACCACGCGAGACGCGGCGTTAGCAACGGCTGCGTGGCCTTAGCCGACATTGTCGCGCAAATTGTGACAGCGGCGTTACCATAGACTTCCTGCATACGGTGTATTTCCACCTTTTTATCTTGGACGTCATCCTGGATTATGCACAGCGAGTCAACCCAGAGGAAGCAAAGCTCAAGCTCGTTATCTGGGTCGCTCAATCGCCGGGTGATTTTGATAGCATCGCGTACTGTGCCTGGAAGATTTGCAGTGTCAAACGGTCGATATCGACTCTCCAAGTTGGCCCTCAGCGTTTTTCCCTGTTCGATTAGCTCGTTCTCATCACCACTGAACGTGCCAGTGCCCCAGCAGTAGCTCAGTGCCGTATAACGAAGGGCCTTGCCGTTCATCAAATTCTCGCTATCGACCAATTGCGCTCGTGAGTCAGAGAGGAGGTGAAGAAGCCGAGTGGGCATACGGTCCGAATATGCGAGGTTGCCACAGTCAATGTGACACTTTTCACACACGCGAAGCCAATCTTTAATCTGCTGAAAGATTTTATCGTCCTCTGAATTCACCGAAAGCTTCATAGGAGGCTTCGGGTCCATCAGCGGTGCACAGCTGACCGTCGCCACCGGCATCTTGCTTTCTCCATCTTCGTTGACGTGTATCTTTATCGCAAAGCCACCATCCTCATTAACCAACTTCGCGCAAACCGACCCTGACGAACGCCCCAACACAGCAGCATGGTCGGCAGTGACGCCTTCGAGAAGCAGCGCCTGACGAAAGATACGGCAAGTGACGCAGAGCTGAGCACATCTGTCGAGAGAGGCATAGTTTTCGTGAAAAACAACAGCTTTGGGTGGAAGAATGTTATGGCGCCTGTGGAAATCGAAAAGAGCCCGAATTTGTTTGCAGCCACGGCACTTTTGCTGTATGTCCAGATCGCCGAAGTCCTCAATAGTTGAAAAGACGTCGTCTTTCTTCCGTGCTCGGAACAACCACGACATCATCCTTTGCGAGGTAAAAGTAACTTGGAAAGGTCGGTTCCGATTATCAAATCATTTTCCCTTGGATATTTGGTAGATCACGCGTAGTGCCTGTAGCAGACGCGTGGCTTTATTGGTCCGCGGCAGTGTCAGGCCGACTTTCTTGGCTCGACGAATCGCATATTGAGACCTGATTCAGCTGTAAGACATTCGAGGTCAGCCATTCCTTCGCTTATGTACGTCCGCGCGTTCTTTATTCACAATCAGGCTGTTGGTTTTCGGGGCATTCACTGCATCCATACTCCAAAGACGGCGATCTAGCCCCAAATGTCCCAATATTGTGGCGCGAGGGAACCCTCATTTTTTGACTCATCACCTTTGCATCCCAGACGTGAGGAAGTGTTTAAAAAGACCTACATGTTTGAGCAGATGCTTTTAACGTGCGTTGCACCATGATGAGATAAGGATCCGACAGCGTCTCTCTTCAATTCAATTCTTAAACAAGCGAAGATGAAGATGAAGAAGCTTACTTTGTGTGGTAGGTACGTATCGATGATGTCGCGGAGCTAGATTATGATGCAACATTATACAATTCCCTTAACTATCGAGGCCTTTCAACACCCTTCTGGCTCTTCAACTATCAGTAAACGGTTCTACATCAGCAAGCTGCTCTCGGTCAAACAACTCGGCAGCCCGAGCCTCTGAGGCATCTGCACAGATTTTCCAGATATCTACTACCGCGGCAGAGACCGCGACAAATCTACGTAAGTTGGTCAGCCTGTATCCAGATTATTGAGTGGGAGTCAGGTAGTTCTCCACGTACGAAGCCACCCCAGCTACAACGCCGGCCGCCTTTTCGGGGCCAGTCGATCCATACTTGTGAAATGATAGGGCAAAAGCCCAGTCTGCGGCGGCGAATCCCGCAGCAAATAAAGCGCTGATGAGGAGTGTGATGCGGCGGCTATTCAGACGACTCTCCTCGGTCATCAAGGTGTTCGGCCGTTGTGATGAAAAGATTGCGGACAAAATGAGCGTGTTCACGAAGAGTGAAAAACAGCTCTGAAAGTGCTCCAATGATTAGCATACGGTCCGAAAAGATTCTGAATGGTGAGCTTTGCGAGGGGAGGGACCGAGAAACTCAACGCACTAGAGCAGAGGATCCCCATGGAATTGCGGGCGAAATCGGGTGATGGAACTCCAATGGCATTGATACAAAGGCCACGATGCCAGCCATCGTAAAAGCAAATTGGGTGAGGAGGTAGACTCTGTGAACGGTGAACCAGTGAAGTCTGATCATTACGAAGGCTTCAGATAATGAATTAAGGCAGTGTCGTTAAAGGCCAACTTTTTCGTATCAGACGTGGAAGAAGCTGAACTTCCCAAGCTCGTCTTCTCCAATAGTTTGATCTTATGTATCTGACAGGAGGCCTTTATCGAAAGAGACATTTCTGAGCGTCTGCCTAACGCCACACGACTAAAATAGGACCCCATACGCTTTCGTCTTCTCCTGAGACATTTTGTCGCCTTGCCGGCAGGTAGCATACTTTGTCTGTTACACCAACATTGTTCTTGAAAAAAACTGAGAAAGCCACCAAAAATGAGGTGGGCGAAGCTGCTAAGCCACTGAACGAGGCAGCATTTTTTCGACGCCTGCGCCACAAGCTGTGCCCGACATAAGCACGCAAGGCGGGATGGCAGGCGGGGCTTAGTGATGGCAGAAAATGAGAGCTCACGCAGAGGTAGACAGACCTGAATGACGCTTGGTTATGTATCTGAGCCAGGAGAGGCCTGTACTGATATAGATGTTTAATTTCCTTACCTTACTCGATTTACGGAACGGCAACGCACGCCTGATACCATAATGCCAAGAAGAACTCTGAGTATCTTCTCTGTTTTGCTCAATGCGTTTTGAGATTTGCTGTCTTCATGGGCTACGTGGGTACCTTTCATTGGTTCGCCCAGAAGACACTGCTGCCTGAGTCATTATTGCATTTCCAGTGATGAGGAGACAGAAGAAAAATAGGAGGAGAAGATGGAAGACGCGTTCATCTATTAGTACTTCATCAGCAACTCCGCGTTGTCATGGTGAAGATCTGAACGCTGATAGATTGATGCACTTTGTAATTGCTTGTAGAGTCTAATGAGCTTAGAGCCTCTCAAAACAGCATTCCAGTGCTAGTCCGAGACCAGTGCGTATCGGTCTTACCCATCCGAATCTCCAGTACCGCGATTTCACATGGCTTGTCAATTCTGCGATGAAGAGAAGCGGGAGCGGCTAAGTACTGTGAAGTGGGGGAACCTCCGGCGGGGTATACGAAACGGCTGCTCTCGGTGCGTCTTCCTCGATCAATGTATCAGATTGGCTCCGATTGATGCGCAGCAAGTCTATAAAATCAGCATTCACCAAGACCATGCCTTCCGAGTCTATTGTATGGAGTCGTACGAAGATACAAGGGTCGATATATTCACTACAGATGGTAAATCGCTCCACACTAAGCACTACGACCAGTGATTGTTAGCAGATGTCGGATATCGGGGAGATGGTCTACCATGCCATGATTTTCGTCTATGTTCACACGGCTGATCAATGATTTCATAGGCCAGGAAAAAAACCCGTTACACTCAAAAAGGATTGATGCTCACCTTCCAGGAAACACAAGCTCCGAGGCAACCTTTCGAACAATCAAAGGTTGGCTTCATGAGTGTATTTCAAGTCACAAGTGTTGTTATGAAAGTGGCAAGCACGGGCATGATCAACGAGCTTCACCGAAGAGACTTCTCTAGATTAGCGAGAATCAAGGTATTCTGCGGGAGAACGTTGGGCAGCAGCGTTATGTATGCCTGAGCTACTGTTGGGGTGAAAGCGCCCAAATCGCCAAAACGACCAAAGAGACAATCAAAGATCACCAGAGAAACATGCCTTGGCATCAACTTAATGCAGCATTTCAGGATGCAATCACAGTCTGTCGTCGTCTAGATGTCTCGTATCTGTGGATCAATTCATTGTGCATTCTACAAGATTCCGTAGCAGATTGGACTGAATAGGCTGCGCAAATGGCCAATATTTATGCAAACGCATATCTCACAATCGCAGCAACAAATTCTAGCGACGCGTCTGGTGGTTGTTTCAGACAAACAAATGACAAGTACATGTCCGAACTCTCTCCAGGGTACAAAGACACATATGTTCACCATGAACTTCCTGACTTTCCACTTATGTCGAGGGAGTATCAAATAAGAGAAAGCCCAGACTGGCCACTTTTGAGTCGTGGATGAGCCTATCAGGAAATGCCACTTTCACGACGGGTACTGCACTTCTGTGCCCAGGAAGTGGTATGGGTTTGCCGGGTTTCACAGAAAAGCGAGAGCATGGACAACGACCAAGATTTTACTTCCGAAGATGGATGGAGCGGGAGGCCCTATGTTCCATATGGTATTCTTGAGAAAGACCCACAATCTCTGTGGTATCGGACAGTAAATGAAAACTCAAGGCTTCGACTCAGTAAGGAGCAGAACAAGATGGCTGCCCTATCTGGGCTGGCGAAACAAATGCAATCTTTACGGCCCCCCGAGAATCGACACCAGATTGAATGATTGAGAACTATGACAACCCCGAAGATGTGTGGAAGCATATGAATAGCTTGGATCCATTAAATACACGAGGTGTTAGATTTGATCCGGAAGAATTGTTGCGACTCTAAGGTTACGAAGAATGTGGCACAGCCGAACACGCGAAACTCCCAGACTCCTAAGCGAGTCTCGAGGTCGACAAATTACTTTCAAGGATGAAAGAGATCGCAAATTCTTCGTACAAGTATTACTATTTACTATGATTATGAAGAGCAGCAGCGCTGCCAGGGTACGTCCACGATTACTCTATCCACCGTGATATACAAGAGTACCAACTATGTATGCTGTGGAAGCAGTGTGTGCAGGCAGACTTAAGTGCTTGCGTCTATGTCCATGGTATAAGGCCGTTTCCATACGGGTAAAACCGTCAATGCTACCTCCGTCATCTCAATCGCAAAAAATCAAATGTCTTGACTCCATTTGTCCATGTATCATGCAAGCTTTTAATAACAAACACCTCTTCATCGTTTTCACAACCCTCGCATGCCTAGACACCGGTAGAATTTTACCAGTTGCAAAACATGAAGTAGTGGTTGATAAACAGGTTGTAGACGTTGATGATGATCAGTGGTAAGGGGTGGTACCAGGTGAAGCCAGTGACAAGGCGCCATGTGACGACACCGACCATGGCACCAGTGACAATTAGGGTCCAGATGATGCAAAGAAGGCGCATGTTGCGATACTTGTTGCTCTGGTGGGCCTTGGAGTCGCCAGAGGCAGCCCAGAGAAGCTCAATGTTGAAGAGACGATCCTTGATAGCGGTGAGGTAGGCGTAGCTCTGGACCGTCATGGCATGCTGCACGTTGAAGCCATATTTGGCCTTAGCCCAGCAACGCATGAGGATCACACCATATAGGATCGAAGGGATAGCAAAAGCCAGGTTCCAGAACTTGAACCATTCCGGGCGGATAGCAAGGAGAAGAGTGCCGGCAATAGGGGCAAGGAAGATGTTGAGTGAAACTGCAGCGTAGTACAAGAAGCCTGCATTTGGTTAGATGGGCGAATGGTCGCTGTATCGCTGTGAAGTAGAAGTACAAACCTGACAGATAACAGATCTTTTGCATGAGGGTGAGATTCGAGACCCAGAAGTGGCCGTTTGTAAGAAGAGTCGTTGAACCACGAGCCCATCGCATCTGCTGGGAGAAGAAGGCGCGAGGAGAGTTGGGGCAAACACCGGTGGCGAGGCAGAGAGGGATGTACTTGACCTTCCAGCCGCGGTCAACCGCACCAAAACTGTGAAATATTAGTCAATGGTCTTGCAAGTTGGTTGGATCAAACTTACCCAGTGTGAACATCCTCGGAGAAGCCAATTTCGGCCGTTCCACCGACCTCGACAAGAGACTCACGACGGTAGAGAGCATTGCTACCAACGCAGATTGAGGCTCCCCATCTGTTACGATTGACCTGCACGACACGGTAGAACAATTCCTGAGTGGCACCTGCACCCTGCTCAACCCAAGTTTGGTCGTCAGTGACGCGGAAGTACTGAGGGCTCTGAACAAGGGCCGTCTTATCATCGCCCAAGTGCTCAACCATCAATTCCTTAACAAAGTCAGGGCGTGGGCAGAAGTCAGCATCGAAAATGGCAAAGAACTCTCCGCTGGTCTGTGCAAAGGTCCATCGCAGGTTGCCAGCCTTTCGAAGACGAGGCCGGTCATCGCGAACGGAGTAGTTGAAGCCATATTTCTCAGCGAGAAGTCGAACCGGTTCCGAGTTGCCGTCGTCCATGACGTGAACCTGGAGCTTGGACGCAGGCCAATCAATATTGACAATGTGCTTATATGTGTTTTCCAGAATTTCGATGGGCTCGGAACAGCAGGGGAGGTAGATATCGACAGTCGGGGCGTTGTCTTCGGTAATAGGGAAGCGCTCAACCAAATCCAAGTGAGCCTTGTAATCCCAGTCTCGTCCAATGATTCCGACGGCGTAGGAGATCAACAAGTAGATGCACATTGCTCCCGCGAAGACGCCATACCAGTAGAATGCCGGGGCAGAGAGCGCAAACAGCCACATTCCGGCGCCGAGCGAGAGGAAAGAGAAGACGCCAAAGATGTAGAGAAGCAGTCGGTTGGTGTGAACGTAGCTGAGCTTCTCGGTGTCGTTCGGGCATACAGGCAAGACCAAAGGCGGCTCTTCCTTGGGGCAGTAGGTTGCGCGGAAACGCCCGTAAAGTCTCTTGGGAAAAGACTCGCCTGATGAGGGTGGAAGTGCGGTCGTGTGCGTCTCCTTTGCCTTCTCGGGGTCAGAAATAACAGGCGGAACATGGCTAGCTTCAACGTCCGTCTCAGAAGAGGATTGGTGATGGCCCTTTTCATTATAGACCGGAACTTCTCTGCCCAGCGGCGAGGGCTCCTGGTACCTGTTAGTTGGGCTTGAAGAAACGGATGTTGAGCAACCTACGATATCGGGTCTGCTTAGACGGTGGTGAGAGGAGTCGACCCAGCTCGATCTCTGACCTGATCTGTCTGTGGTGTCGTACGGATGTGTTTGCCCAACAGCGTTCTAAAATATGTCAGTCCCTTTTCCTTCAGGCCGGAAGCCATCGCCAGTGGCACTTCATGGAAACGTACCACAGTAAAAGTCGAGTCACTGGCGAGGGAGGGGGCCGCGCTCGAATCGTTGTCGGTGTCGAACGGGTTAGAACCGAACGGATTAGTCGGGGGCGTCAGGCTCGAGTCGGGAGAAGCTCCCCGTGTTGTGTAAGGAGGCGACATTGTGGTATCAGGTTCCCGTAAAGCGACACGAGCTACTTTCACACAAGATTACTATGTGTGGAGGAGATCGAGAGTCGGCTCGGGCTGGCAGTATAACGAGTGCGCGGAAGGGGTGGTGAGGCAAACGAAGATGGCTCCAAGTGTCGATGTACTCCCATTAGGTTCCTCGAAGTAGACGGCAGAGTCTCTCGGCACCGAACGCGGGTGAGTGTGTGACAAGAGCTCGAAGCTGGAAGAAAGAGAGAGCAGCGAAAGTCGTCAAAGCGAGTGACTGAAAATTGAAAGTAGACCAGCCTCGTGGAGTTGAACTAGCGAGCGGGCGAGGCGGCGAGAGTAGCGCGATGATGGCAGCGGAGGACTAGGAGCCAACGTCTAGCTTCTAGGTGCAACGAGCGGGACGGAGGGAGGAAAGGTTTTGTTCAAGGTAAGCCACACAGACGGCGGGATGACGGAGGAGAAGGCGTAGGGTTCCTTAGGAGAGGCGAGGTAAGGTGAGGTGGAGGGGAAGACAGGCAGTAACCGGGATTGGATGTGGTGAGAGCCCAAGGTGAAGCCGAGATAGGATGGGGCTGGTGAATGTAGCGGACCCAAACAGGCAGGTTCACCACAGCGTGGAGAGAGGAAGGCGCGGCTACATTACGACATGCGTATAGCCCAGACAGACACGGCCTGGAGAAAAGGCAGAGGAAGACAAGACGAGCCGTAGTAGCAGGCCACTTCAGGCCAAGCAGGAGTAAACACACCGTCTTGCTTCCTCCCGCAAGGATGTGAATACGGTATCACGGCCACAGAATGAGGCACGAATACGTACAGTATGGTGGTATTCCGTAGGTAAGTACCTCATTGCTAGGCTGGGCTGGGCTGCTCCGGGCTTGCTTTCAAGATGACCATGTTTATTCGTTGAATAATGTCCGTATCGTAGGTATCTTCTGCAAAATCGACAAGGCCATTTCTCTGCCCCTGCCATGAATATCCCCGCGAGTCGCCAGCCCACCCGTGGCTAATGTGTGGGCAAGTGAAAAGGATCGTGGCAGGGATACAGCGACCATTGAACCGTTTGGCGGTTACAAGGGCTGGTTCACTGCGGGTATGTCTCTCATGTCTGCATGCGCTTAGCTGCCTGGTTACGGATTGTGTTGACTCCCGTCGCTTGCAAATCATGGCAATGGCCCGGTGGGAGAGATGTTGTGACATCACCGCTGGGAAAGAGTCAGAATACCTACTGGCCTTAGCAGGTGCCATTGCAGTTGGACCCAATATCTCAGATCAAGGTATGGCAGCGTAGCAGCGTGCTACGGCTAGCTCAAGGCTAATGACCGTAGGTTGCTATCCATGGCCGAAATCTGCATAGAAGGTTGACAGTCGCCGCAGACTGCAGGTGAACCGTGAAGCCCTAGGGGAAATGACCTGGCTTCAGGATTTCCACATGGCTACGGAGTCAAGTACCGGTACAATAAATCGTGTGGGGGTATGAAGGCAGGGGGCTGGGCCAAAGGAAATCAGCCGGGAAGAGAAGCTGGGCAAAAAGTGACAAACGGAGCGGAGAGAAATCATGACTTGGATCCAAGAGTCAGGAAAGCACGAAGAATGAGAAGAGCATGGGAAACATAATCTGATGCCACGCCGGAGTGGAGTGGGGCCGGTCGGAGTGGACTCCGTACATGATTGGGCAATGCAGCCTGTAAATATCAATGAGGGAAACATTCGCCTGCCAGTTTAGAGAGCAAGATACCTTGCTCCGTACAGAGTACCCATGGAAGCAAAGAAGGCGTCAGATAATAGCTATGTCCCAGATGGCAGTTCCAGAGGAAGGATACAAAAGATCAAAGCAGGGCTGTGGGAAATAAGGTAGGTGTCCCGTGCCTGCCATCCATAGTATGGCAAACCGCAAAGCAGGTGGCAGGTGGGCAGGCAGGCGGGAGTCGTGGGAGAGACAGGGTGGGCAAGAAAGGAAAAGCCACCTGCATCATCAAACGTGGGCCTATTTCCCGGTTTGCCTGTTGCATTTGCGGCGTTTTGGACTGACAATTCAGGGCAGTTACTCGGAAGATTCTTGCAAGCGCAAACACCAGAGGACAAGGCGAGGATGGATGGACATTGGAAAAAGCCCATGGGCCTGGGAAAGAGCCGCCAAGACGTTACCTACCTTATCGGCAAGTGCAACGGAACCATGAGCTGACTATCACAGTAGTGTACGTACCGGATCATGAACAGGGGTAGACCTGCAAGCGCTGCTAGCGTCAACCACATCACGGGCGCCAAGGCCCCAGAGGGAAAGTCGACATGCGACTTGCTCTGGGAACTTGTGGGAAGAAGCCACGAACGGCACGAACTGCAGCCACCACAGCGCCTCATTGTGTCGGCCGCCTTCCGGATGAGCAGCTACTTCTTTCTATCTTCCTTCCCGCCTGTTGTGGCCTGTTTTGTTGCACCTGCCTGCCTGTCGTGGTTCATATCTCTGAGGTTCGTATCTGGACAAGGTAGGCACCTTGGGTAGATAGACCCCCACTTCTTGCTGTGTCGGGCACGCTGTCGCTCCTGCTCTCACTTGTGCCTCCTTGCTCGCAAATTATGTGTACCGCATACTCCGTACGTCGGATAAGAATCATTAGGGAACACCGCAGAGCGGAGATCGAAGATGAAGGAGCTACAATCACGGCAGGGAAAAGAGACAGGAGCAGGGTTGGCAGCTGTCGAGCAGGCTGTCCCTGTCAAAATGTGCGGACCTTTGATGGTCAGAGCATCAATCTGGACCGCCATTTGACAGCATCAACCGGGATGCCGATACCACACAGCGAACCATCCCGCACACATCTACGCACTATCGACTTGCATGCTTCAAAGTGCAGCAAGCTTTCCGGCCCTTTTCAAACCTGCAATCTGTTCAGTGCCGCCATCATCGAAAAAATTCTGATTCAACGTCTGCCAGGCTGCCAGCTAGCTTCTCTGACCCGCCGCGCTACGCAGATAACCTTGGAACTCAAAAACACAAAGCGTTGAGCTAGCCCACGGTGGGAATGGGCCCACGATTGGCATTCACTGAATCACTGCTAACCACAATACCACGCTACTAGACCCGAGCCGGCGGCCGTTGCTATCAGATCGACCATCGGTAGTCGCCGGGCTGTCTGAAGCTCCATTCCTTCAGCTGTGCTGGGATCTGGGAACTTGCAATCCTGAAGAGAGACACCAGCCTCCTTTGTCTTCCTCGGCTTGTTCCAACTTTTCAACACCCCGTCTGTGGCTTGTGGGCTTCTCCAACGTCGCCCTACTGACGGACGACTAATGCCGACCAACAACGCATACCTACCTCTCTCAAATCTCTGATGGTCAAAAACCACCACGCTACTCCGTACTCGTATTGCCACTGCAGCACATGCAAACAACGCCAGCGACTTCTACCCATCATGCGCATCCTATCTGACTGGCCCACCAATACCTTCTCCAGCCCCAAAGCCTTGGAGGCTCAATACCACGCAATTGGGCCACCAGTTCGAGACCGTTTCTTCCTTCGCTTGCCCACTGATACCTGACTACATACGCATACGTTGCCCACGCCAATAAGCTAATAAGCGTAAACCTTGATAGCATCCACCTCAGAGGCTATTTCGACATCCTCATTCGCTGGCGCGTGCTCTCTCGCGTGTTTGACGGATAGCTCACCGTTGTCTTTCTGCAGTGTTTCTTTCTTCTGCTCCTTGGCTCAGCAGTCTCCGTCGCCGCCGTTTTCCTCTTGAATGTGCAGCGGCAATGTCGGTCGCCGCCCACCCGTCCCCTCTGCAGAGCATCGCCGACGGATCCTTGTCTTACATCGCGCTTGGCCTGAGCAACGATGACGCTCGCCAGGGTTCTTTGCGGTCACAGAGTCTCGAGAAGAGCCTTTGACTATTGGCAATGGCTCGTACGAACACTGGCGATCGGGATCTTCTCAGAGAGGCGATGATCAAGCGCCTTCCATAGAAGATGTACCGGCGCCAACCGGACCCTCTCCACCCACATTGACGCTCCGGTTCCTGATCTGACCGGCGCATTCTTCGATAATTTCGCCTGTCGTTCTCGCTCTCGAGCCCTCGCATCCCGCCGTTCCATTGGAACAATGGGTCCCAAGACTCCTCCGCACCCCAGCTACCACGAATTCCATCGGATCCACCGTGCCACGCGGGCAATGAAAGTCTCGACTCACCTAGCAAAGTCACAGAACATCTTGTTGACGATTCACACCCGCCACGTCGATCCGGTTCTCCAATACCGAGACATGGCGAGCCAAAGCCAGCTGAACGGCTGGGGCGACCTGGTTTACCCCGGTCTCGTGTCTATTGTCGCCCGCTGGAGCTTCCGCTATCGCAACATCATCCATAGGTCATTTTTCGCTTTCATCGGGATGGTTTATCTGAAGTCCTGAGCTGCATCCTACTCTGCGCTGAAGCACGGTACAAGGCACTGTTTTGCGGCGAAGCGAATAATCGCACGCTCACAGCGGTACATATTGGGGAGTGACAACTACCATGTTCCCAAAGTACCCTCAAAATGCTGGCCAAATATCCGTAATGAAGGGGTGAACAGTACGCAAAACCTGAACTGACATCCTCATCTCGGTTGCTATCCTACAGCACATCATCGGCAAGAAGAAAGGAGTCAAATGAATATTCCGCGATCTCTAACTCCTGTCCGCCACCCATATCCATACGTTGTCGTCGCCGTTTAAGCCGCCCGTTGTCTTGGCTACTTCGGCATGGCGGCACGCGCGCCAAGCCGCCAATACGAAAGAATGGTGCGCCAGATAAGCTCCTGGTCTTTTTTCCTTGGTTTTTCCTCACACCGTCAACATTGAAACGACAACACCAATTTTCTCGCCGCTTCTCGCCATGTGTGGATATCAGACTATTGTTCTGCGACTGTCCTACGGATCTTGCTGTCCCGGATTGAGGCCACTCTCCGAGGCGTGGATCTCGATGACGCAGCATCTTGGTACAATTTCCTTTCCTCTTCCCGTCGGATTGCATACGGAGTAGGTAGAGCCAACCTGATTCCCCGTCACCAGCATGGTATTGGTCTCTTGGCCTATGAGGCAAGCCGCCAGCCGCAAACCAACCAGTTCAGTCTCCTTCTTCTCCAATCCCGCTCCGCCCAACCCGCCCCTTTCCCTACCATCTCCGCCAAGACCGTGCACACCATCCCACCATCCCACCCTCCATCCATCATCCATGCCATGCCACATTGTCTCCATTAAAAAAACATCCCGGCAACTGATCCTTTGCGAGCGCCGAGATGCATGCTGCCCACCACCAACTCATGGAAAACGAGATTGCCATACGCGTTCTCAGCATGGTTCGTCGAAAACGGTCTTCCGTCTGCAGGCTGGAGACTGGCAATAAACAACGCGAGGCCCAGAGTATCAATCGCTGGCTTACTGCATGCTAATGTCCCTACTGCTCACGCCTAATGCCCGCATCGGACTGCCATACACACGCTCTTGCTACCAAGCGGCAAGAAGGAGCCTCTTGACCGTATTACAACCGTCAGTGGCTGACACTGTCTCTGTCCAGCTTGAAAGAGGATGTTCAGCAGAGGCTGGGGCTTAGGATACGGACACTGGAGGCGAGGGAGGCAACACCATTCGGATGATGACTGGAAGTGCTATGTTTAGACTGTGCTCTCTTTCCGGCTTGGCTTCCTGGGAGGCCGCCATCTTCTCTGAATGGCCTGATTACTGGAAGGGTGCCTCTGTGTGTGCATATGTGTGTAACCAGCGATCTCGCAGGAGAATGTGTCACCGTCCAGGCAAGGTACGCTCCTTCCGGTGACCCCTCCAATCGAGATTTCGGCGCGAGCTCCGGGATCTTTTAGAGCTTCAAGGCTAGCCTTGCTGTTGGTCACATGTAGCTGACGTGGATTTTTCTCTGTAGTTAGGGGTGATCATCACGAAGTAGGACAAAATCTGGATTATGTCACAATCGAGGTCACGGGCAACGTCGCAAAAATAATGTTTGAGGCGTGGATAAAGTTCCCGTGCTCTCTCTACGCGATTATGTATTGATTAAGTACAATGTCTGTCGAGGTTCAAACAACCTCGAATTCACTGCTATTTTGAAACCCGGATATCATCAACAAACCAATCAAATGCTGTACTCCAAGCCGTCATCCCGTTCCGCCTTTACGCGGACTTGTCTGTAGTAACAAAAGTGAAAAGCATGTGGATTTACATAGCCAAAGCCGAAATCGACAGTAGCAAAGCCGAAGCCAGACCCAACACCGAAAGCGCGCTTCTTCCGGCCGCGTTCTTATCGTCGCCACCACTGCCGCTGCTGGAACCGCTGTCGCCGTTGTCGAGGTCCATGCTAAAGTGAGCCGCGCTGAAGGTGATGTTCTCCGGCGAATGCCATGCCTCGGAGCCGAACTCGACTAAGCCGAGCCACGAGTCGCTGTCAATCTCTCCAGAGTCCAGGACGAACTTGAGTAGCGGCGTGATATCCTCATCGAACTGGGTGACGTCGGAACCGTCGCGCGTGACCCAGGTAAAGACCTTTTGGTTGCGCTGGTTGGTATCGAACCAGAGGGAGCTGCAGAAGCACGTCAGCATCACCGTAATATGGTACCCAATACGTGAAAAATCACGAGCGGGGGGAATCTGGGAGAAATGCTTACAACTCTGTCGAGCCGAGTGTGATGTTGGTGAGAATGGAATCGCCCATCAGCGGGTACGGGTTTCCGACTTTGCCCAGCCAGATCATAATCTCCGCCTCCGAGTCAATGGGGTTGTACGTCTTGGTCTTGTTCTTGTCGACAAAAAAATCCCACGCGGCATTGGCGACGACGCCGCTGAGCTCGGCTTTGCTCTCCGCCCAGGTGGTGGCGGCAAAGTCGCGAGGGGGGTCGTTCTCGGGGTTGCCTTTGCGCATGGTCCATTGCGTCGCCAGTCGCATCGTCTTGATGGCGCTCAGCTTGGTTGGCAGCCTTGTGGAGTTGAAGCGGACATGGGGGAATGAGTGGACGTTATTCTTGTCATCTTCCCAGTTCCAGTTGGCATCGAAGGCCGGAATGGATTGGTCAACCTACGCGTCGCGAAGAGCATCGTGTTAGTCGATGTGGTCAGGCCATGAGGCCACAGGATTTCCGGGCATGGGAGGAGAAGGCTGATAAGAATGGCAGGTGGAAGGAAGTCGCGACGGAGCTCGTGACGATATGCAGGGTCGAGGCAGGCTGACGGGAGCGGGATGGTATGGTACGGATAGGAGAGGGGCATGATAGGAGCAACGAGGTGTAGATAGACTTCCAAGCCCAGATACGACGGTTGGTCACGTCACACTACTTACCGATACGCACGAGGAGCCATTTCCAACAGGGTTCCAAGCATTTGACTGGACTGCAGAATTCTCGTATTAGCCTGATCCACGATAAAAGGCAAAACGAGTATGTTGTGCTGAATCTAGGTTGACGGCGTTTACATGGAAGTAGGTGTCGTCGAATGACCCGGAGTCAGACCTAGGAGTGTGATGGGGGATCCACGTACAGATGAATTGGGTATCTGAGCTCGTAAACTTGTTTGTCTTGCCGCAGATTGTCGTATCGTACGCGGCAGACGCGTGACGAACAGCCGTCAGGCCGGCGGCGAGAAGAACAGCGTTTCTCATTTTGTTTGCGCCGTAGATGTTGGGAGACGAATGGAAGGTTTGAAGGGGGTTTAACGTGAAATGTGAGATCTTTGTGTTAGTGGGCGTAAATGTGCTGCTTAAAGACCGTGATGAGCAAAAGAAGCACTTTCTTGATCGCGAGAGAGCTCGACGGGAAGATGCAATGACGAAAGGAGAACAAAGTGTCGGAGTGCAGACCGGAGGACGATTGTAGCAGGCGATGAAGATGGCTGACGGGGTCCGACGGGATGAGCTACCTCACTGTCACAGTGTCACTCACTCAATGGACGGGACCGGGGAGGCAGGCGCAGGCTGGGGTCTTTGGGTGGAGCAGATGGAAGGAAGAGAAAAAAAGATGACGATGAGGACGGAGGAAAAAAAAGAGAGACATACTGCGAGAGAAGGAGGCTAGCCTACGGATACAGGTCTTTGGTGACATTCCTCACGTTCTGGGCCCAGCTCGCCTGCCCATCCAAGAGCTGAGAAAATATTGGCAGGAGGGGCTGAAAAAGGACAGGAACCAGACCTTTGACCCTGCCCGCTTATCTCGCGTCGAATGACAGCGGCAGGACCTAATGAGTACATTGGTAGGTACAGGAAGGCGAGTGTGAGTCCGGGGTCGATGATTCGGTTGTGCTCTCCCGTTTGATGTTGGCAATTCGCATTGGCATTGGCATTGGCATTGGCGGCAGCATCGAATTTGCTAGCTTTATTTGGCAGCTACCCGGTGTCCTTCCCCATTACATCACCTCACCTGAAGGTACGGAGTACCTCACCACGCTCACTCATTCACCTTGATTTTCCTCTCGTTAGCTTCGAGGCAGAGGTAGCTCTAGCCTCAGCTGGGCTGTCCGCTGGGCCCGGCGCATGTGGGCGAGCTAAAAAAACAAGCATATACACCGTCTCTTCCCGATTGGGAAAAAGGCGTTGGCCGGCCGCCCACGACCTGGTCGGGACGGCGTCTGTGGCTGCGCCGAAGAGATAAGATTCAGTGTTGATAATAAGTGGTGAGTTTTGCAGTGCATGAGTGAGTGAGTGTACTAGATAAGTAAATCATCGAGCTTGAGTGAGATTGAGATGTCGAGTGAGTGAGCCATTAGGCATTCGTCTCACTGGCAGTAAACAGACGTAGTATTCCTCACACAAGCAGATAATATCTAGCAATCATTTGCCGAAATGAACAGTAAAAAGTGAAGTTGCTGAACAAATGGATATATAGCAACTCACTGGCAATTCACAATTTCTTGCATCTCCCATATGATCGAGTATACATAGTCAATAGAGAGGCACTGGCAAAACTCCGACAGGCTGGCATGGCCCCACCTCGTGACATGGCCGACGACGAAACTGACACTCGACTCCGTGAGAGTCGTCGTGATGTTAGCCGGTCCTTGAGCCATCAACCTGGATGGCAGCGAGCCTGCCTATCCACAAGTGGAAGCAAATGTGCAAAGCGTCCCAATATTCAATTCGATGAGCTTCTTTGTTTAGTATGAGGTGAGGTGTATATACCCTATTCCTGAGAGCTTCCCATGTACCTCAGTCAAGCGCCCGGGTAAGCGATACGAGATCAATACTACGAAGCTGCTCCATACCTACCCAAGTCGACACAAAGATAGGACAAGAGAGCTCCTACGCAAAGGGAATGCCGTGTCGATGGTCGATTAGACTCACCTGAACCAGGCAGGCTCTGTCGTACATTCCACTGCTCAGGTCCTCGCGTGCAGTGTGAGTTGAGCGGGAGTCGCGTCCCGCCTTCCCCCCAAAGTCTCACATGCATGAGCTGGAGCCGAAGCTGTCATGAGGCAATCTTCACCTCGATGTGATGCCCTGCGCGCACTCGCAGTTTCTTCAGGCAACACCCCAATTTCCCCAGAGCCGCAATGAGTTAAACTTAACCATAAATCGCAATGCGAAGCAGCCCCCAAACTCGCCCTCCACGCCTTGCGCGCCCTACAAGGGCCTACAGAGCCTAGAACGTGCGTTAGTAAGCCGCCCGAGCAGTGAGAACGCTCCGCCCGAGTCATGTTGTGGTGCTTCTCCAACTGACGCCTACCGGGCTTCTCGGCCACCGTGTTAAGCCTCAGAGCAGCAATGGCTCGTAACCCGTAACATGCCCAAAACAGCATGGTGATGGGCGAGGGCATCCAGGGGTGAATACTAAAGGGATAGATCGTATCCCCAGAATCTCGTATTTGCCCACCTCTCCAGTACATAATCGCTGCGTCGCCCCCCGTCTGCTTCCTGACTTCAGTCATCCTTCTTCGCACAGCAGAGATCTGACTGAATAACCATGTCGAAGCTCATAAAAATCCGATGTTTTGGGTGGTGACCTTTTGTCGGATTACGATGCCACAATACGTCGCCCACCACCACTATCAACACCGCGGCACCACTCGGCACCGACACACAATACGCCAATAGCTTGGGTCCTTGGTGTCGATGCAAAAGTCCGACGAATCGATGACCTTCCAACCCCGGACTTCGACCCAGCGAAAGACAGAAAAACGGTGGCGGGATAAGGCCCCTGAATTCCGCCTCATCCGAAGGATCAAAGGCCGCACCATCACACCAAGGCCACCAAGAACACCAAGACCTGAATGTCTCCAGCGACTTGCAGCTTCTTCAAGACTGCAACGATTCTAATTCGCCTGCGAAAAGGCGATCCCGCGACAGGAAAGGGGAATACTCTGGGCAGAGTGCCGCCGTATCCGTTCGCCGACACACCAAGAGCCTTGATTACGGTCTTGGAGCATGCAGACGCAGTCCAGACTCGGGAAGGATTTCACAACCCGCGGGTAATGTGACAGGAACAACTTGAGTATTTCAATTAGCAAAGGCGCCTGACCAGGAGGACGACTGGCGCTCCAGTTGAATCGGGATGGAAAATATCAGAAAAAAGTCGTTGGGGGGCACAGGGCCAGAATGGTGAGAGACTGAACCGATCAACCGACAACGAGCACAGATTCGACGAGTCGACGACGACAGCGAGCCGCCATACCAGGCCTGATTGAGGGTAAATCCGCGAAAGGAAAGGAACGCCTTCTCTCTGGGCTCTCCAGTGCGACTCCGGAATGCCACGCCATAACCCAATCGACCCAAGTCGAGACACAAGGCTCCATCAGCCCTCAAGTTCTCCCTCGCCTTCTCGAATCCGAACCTCTGTGCCGTCCCACGATCCACCTTGCCGAGCCTGTAATCAACGAGTCGTCGTCAGCACCGACAGGGGATGATGCTGGACCTGGTGGAACCTGCGTCTCTCCGCTCTTGGTGCCAACTTGGCAATCCGCTGCACTAATGTCCGGGGGCCAAGTGACTTTTGCCTGCCCAGACCAGCGTATTGAGCAGTGCTACGGAGTACTAGTCCTGACTCCTGTTGTCATGCTAGTAACGGTGTGTCTCTCTCCCTTCCACCGCATGTTGCAGCTCACACACCCGTTCTTGTTTGATGTACCGTAAGCTTCGCCTGCCCGCCATTAACAGACGAACTTCTGTGGATTTGCTCCTCCATCATCTTCTTGGCGCCTCTGACCGCTTCGTCGTGGATCGTCCCCCGCGAGCTCGTCGGGTACTAGCGAGCCATCGCCAACACACATAACTGTTCGCAGGCATCGACGCCGAGGGTCGTAACTAGAGACATGAAGGTAATCTGCACTTACCAGGCACTGCAGAACGTACTGATCGACTTAACGGGGATCTCCTCGCAAGTACGGATAGCATGTCAATGTGTTCCTTGCATTTGGGAAGCCCACCCACACAGTTCGAACTTTGTACCCCCGATTGGGCGCGGACATACGCACGTCAAGCTGTGGAATCGGTTTCATCTTGGTAGCTATCGTGGTACCTCTGTCTGAACCTTTTGAACAATGGCGGCCAGCGCCTGCGTACCCGACCGCCGCTCATTCGCTGGCAGAAGCACAATGTGAGGTACAATAAAGCTTCTTGCAATTACCGTGCGAATGGGCGTCAGGACTTTTCAGTGTAGAGTCTAGACTGACTGACTCTCAATCTCTTTGTGGATTCAATTGTCTCTGTCGTCGTCACATTGTGGGACAAGAGCGAGAGTCTCGAGCCAACGGCAGGCTTCGGTTGAGGTGTGGTGGCACCCCCCGCGGCATTTGCTCGAGTGAAGTGGCTTGGCCACTGATGGGCAAGTGTCTCATCCGTCCGGTTGTGCCTGAAGATCACGACTCCAAGTCTGTTAGTCTTCCTTCTGCTCCAGGTCTGCATAGTGCATATTGCCGAATTTTCTGGTGCACTCCTTGAGGTATGGCATTTTGGTCACGCCGCAATCATTTGTGCGAGACATTTGAGCTTAACGAGCCTCTGTTCACTGTTTGCCTCTCGAAGTGTCTGTCCCATGGCGATTATTGGATGGTTGCATATGCTCCCTGTTGATGTGCAGGCCCGAAGTTGTCTTTGACAGATGGTCATTGGAAGGAAACCGACCATTTGAGAAGGTGAGGCGACAACCTTGAGAAACCGCTAAGATCTAGCAAGTCTCAGTCTCGGCGGTATTGTGTGGCCAGTCACCCGGTGTGATTTTCCCGTAATGAAGGTCCCTCCATGAACCCCGTCCTCATCTCCTGAATTCCGCCACTCCGATGAAGGAGGAGAGCGGGAGTTAGGAGGAGGGGTGGAGAGGGGAAAGAAGGCAGAGGAAGATTCGCAAGTGGTGTCTCGGGCGGCTGGCAGCTTTGAACTCCATTCGGGCGCTGGGGCACCCCCTACAGGATACGAAAGCCTGGAGCTCATCCATTACGCAGTATGCCGTCCGTAAAGGCTGCACCGACGTGCTTGCACCAGAGAGTGACCTGAGTCGATGGTGGGAATAGTACAGGCGGAGGACGCACAATGGCTGAGCGAGAGAGGCTCAGCACTCCCACCATGGGAGCTGTGAAGCCGATTGACAGGGTCGGGGTGACCCCTCGGAGGGTTGTATGGGTAAGACGACAAAGCAAACGGGCGATGGCGATCAGCGAGTATGTCAAACCGATCCTAGTCTCCTACCTTAATTCTGAGGCGATGGAGATTCCCATGTTCATTGCGAAATGGGGCCACCATTGGGGGTATCTCTGTCGTCTTCCTTACCCGTCGCGTAGTAGGGTGGATGTGCGCTGTATCTAACGACGAGCAGCAAGCGTCCGCCGTCAGTTAGAGCCCAATTCTTCAGAGCGTTCCGCCAGCGCCAGGGGAGTGTGGCAGATGACGATCGCTGATGGGAGGGTAACTCCCTCTTTTCGAGCGCAAGGAGTACTGAGTCGGAATTGGTCAGTAATCTCCCGAATACATGTATTTCGAAAGACCTCGTCCATGATAGTCTGAAAGACAAGCGACGCGCCGGCTGGGCGGAAAGCAAGCACCTCGGATGGGCTTCTGATCGCGTATGTAGCAGAGCGCTCCCCGCTGACTCTGAATCGGCGGGTGGAGTCTGTTCATTAACCATGCGGGTTCGCAGAATGGTGAAATTCCAGGAACAAGTCTCTTAGGCGCACAAAGTGGAGTGATGAGCGCTGGTACTTCCCGACGGAGTCTTGAGAGGGACGTTGTGACCACCTGTTGCTAAGCATTTAACCAAACCGAACCAAGGGCAGTGGAAGCGCCGCGGCGGCAGCGCCAGTATGTATGTACATGCGAGCGCACGCCAGCTCGGAGGTTGGCGGGAAGTGAAGCAGACGGGATGAGAAGAAGAAAGCAGCAGATATTGACCTGGCAAAACCTGACCTGACAGAGTGGGGGTGAATCTGCTGGAGTCTTGGAGGCGCTTTAAGCTTGAAGGAGTTGCCTCCGACATGATCCAAAGATTCTAGACTTGTCTTGCCTGTCGTTGCCTGTCTTGCCGCACTTTCTTCTCTAATCTCTCCCTGCCCTGCTGCTTCTTTCCCGCATCTCGAAAACAAGATGGGACGTGGAAACTGCTCGGGTAGCAATGCACCGCAGTATCTACAAAAAGACATTACCAGCAAGAGCAGCTTCCATAATCGACAAAGTCCAGAAACTTCGGGCTGAGGTACCAGTTCGAGATGATGTCACAGACTGCAAGGCTCAATCAAAAGCTGACAGGCCTGCGGGCAAGTGAGGCTAAGACAAATAGAGGTCCCCTGCTGGCATGCCTGCCACGCTTGCCATGCCTGCCATGCGGTGCCGTGCTAGTGCAGCAGTTGGGACTTGGGACCCGGTAGTGAGTCTCTCCTCCTGTCGTTCCGTGCGCTCTTTGTGGCAGGGGTTTATCTGGGAGGGAAGGGAAGTGACTTCCTGAGTTTCCGGCAGCCCCAAGGGACAGAGAGGAATGGTAGGAACGGACGGTCAGCACTCGGACAATGACATGGCAATGACAGAGTGGTAGGAAGGTGCTACCTATCTTGACGTCTAGTCATTTGAGGCTTTCAGTTGAGAGAAGGGAAGAACAGACGGAACCCAAAGGCAAAAGAGCGGAAGGCATCCAGAGGACGTCACTACGTATCTCATCTGCCAAGCAACTACGGGGGCCCCTCCTGATGTATCCGTAACGGCCACTCAATTTCACCTTTTATCTGCGCTTGCGGCTTGCCTTAAGTCACTCTGCTAAGGGACGGGTATGCGTAGATACTTGTATCCCAATTTTCCATGCTTCTCCAATCTCCAACTGTTCTCGAAGTTACAAGTATCCGTACGTACTGGAGTATCACTAAGATTTGTGAGGGCCCCCAGTGCTCCTCTCGGCTCACCATTTAGCCCCGCTCTTCCAGCCACTGAGGTACTTCATCTCACCACTAGAAACTAGTACCGATCCGATGTACCTCGCAATATTGAAGGGATACACAAGATGGAAAAAAGACAAAAAAAAACGGCTCTTTGAAGTCAACCGTTTCGGCTCCCATTCCCTCTGTTCACTTCATCCCCGTTCGCTTTCTTGAGCATCTGTACGGTGCCTCCCGCGGGACCACGTAATGAAAGTCTTGTCATTAGTCAATATCAAGCATCGCAGCTCGCCAAAGCAACTTGCGCTGACATTGCAAAACCACTTTGCCAGCAAGCCTGCAGCTTTAAGAGCATCGGCACTGCAGAGATGCTTCGCCAAAGGCTTGGAAATGGTCCATCAGCGAATGTTTCCTACCCATTAATAAGCCTCATCCATCAAGGCTTAAGACTGCAAAAGCAGAATCCCAAAGAACCAGAGACGGCTCAGACAGGGGAGCCTTCTGGATCGAGAGTTCAGGGACCGGGCCAAGACCTTCCCGTTGCTCGTCCTACACTAAGGCCGGCCCACCCTCTACTTTCCAAAACGGAGGACACGCATCCCTTCCACGCCATCTCATTGTCCGTGATGCTGCCAGCCTGCAACTGTCCGGGGCATCCCGCCACGCCTGCAGCAGCCGCAAGTATCCGGGGTCTGCGTCTGAGTACAGAGAATGGTACAGCGTGGGTACGACGCCTTCTTGCAGAAAAGCAAACATGGCAATAGGAGCATTCCGTGATGGACGACGTACCTTTCCATGCGCGGCTGGCTCCCTCTCCTCCCTGGCCAGGCCTGAGCCGCTATTCGATCAAGCTGTCTATTGCGTACGTATGGATACACAGTACCTCACGTTGCAATAAAACTCCGTAGCAGCCACCTTCACCTGCACGACGAAGGAGTCTTGGGATTCGACACGGCTGCCGTACCGAATGCCAAGCTTCGAGCGGTGGAAACGTTGCCGTGCGATAAGGCCAAGAAGTCTCCAAGGCGAAGAGTCAGCGACAGCGAACAACAGACTAACTCACTCCCTTGTGCGCCTCCGGCTGCATCTGGCTTCTGCTTTCTTTTCTGCTCCCATTGCCGCCGAAAATCGTCCAATATCTCACCCACAGACTATCCGAACATTGACTTCACAAGGAAGGTAGTCAGGACACGTCAGGCTCACTAAGAGGCGAAAAGAGTATTCCGTGACAATACCCCGTGCGTACCGTTTAATACCTCTCAGACGGACCCAAGTACCTTGCCTTGCCTACACACGTCCATTCACTACGCTATTCTAGGAAAGCTAAGTACCTGGTCCCGGTCCCGGTCTCGCTACTTTGTGCTCCTGCTCCAAGAGTCCTGGGTGTGTCCTCGTCTTTGGTACCTCCTGGTCCCTGTTCTTGCTCCTACTTTGTAGTATGCTTGCTGTCACGAATACCGGTACGGATAGGAAAGCGGCAGCGAAGCAGAGCAGAGGAGCAACGACGAAGGAGCAGCAACGGCAACCGGGATGGATGGGAAATCGCTGGTTCCCTCTGGCCATCTGCGAACAAGGATGCGATGCCCATGCCATGCCTATCTTTTTCTCTCTCCATGCCATGCTCCCATCCAATCCACATTGAGGTCCCGCATTGCCCATCTCCAAGACTCCATCCCATCCCATCCCATCCCATCCCATCACGCATCGTCCATCACCCATCCCCTATCCCGACTGTCCAGCTTCGTGGTCCACAGTCCACAGTCCACAGTCCACAACTCTCGGACGGCACCGTCGACGGAAAAGAAGGAGGGGAGTAACAAGAAAAAGAGCCAAGACCCTGCAGGATATATCAAGAAAGAGCCCCTGTGCCCTACCTGCTGCATTTTCTCCCTTGAAATCGTCCGTTCAGCCATTACTGTGGTACTGTTACTGTATTCGTGCGCTTTGCCCTCACTTTCGTTGGAGATTGATGAAATTCCGGGTTTGAATAAACCTGCCGCTCGCTCCACGTCTGCCCAGCTTCTTTCACATTAAACTACACCAGATCACCCCCTCCTCCAAGAGCTCTTCCCACCTCACTTCACCTCACCTCCCTTAACTCTCTTCCCGATTCACCTGTCTGGGACACATCACCGAACTTCATCGGCCACTTCTTACAACGGGCGCCAATCCCATGTGAAGCCGGTTTGAGCGTTAGTGCACCTATCCAATCCCACTTCCGCTCCCACGTACGCCGTTCGTCTTACGTCTACGCCGTCACCCGCACCCACCTTTCCGATCCCGCCAATTTGTACTTGTTCGCTCCAAAAGTACGACTCGACTCGATTTGTCTCGCTGTTCGTTCACCAGACAAACCGCAGAAAAAGGAAGCAGAAACCGACTTGCCAAGCAACGCAAGGGAATTCAGCTTTGGGCTTTTGAGAACCCCATTTTCGATTATCAGTCACTTCTCAGACCCATCAATTTACACAACTCGCGGCCGTCGTCCGATCCTAGGAGTGTCCACCATTCACCACCCCAAACTCCCAACCCGTGTGCCTTCAAAAGGGCCACACTCGTCACTCCGACTTGCCAGCAAGATCACCAACTACCACGACAACTTGTTTTTCGCTCGCTTTCCGCAAACTCAAGCCACGTTTCTCTAATCAAGAGTATCGACTGGATCACTTTTTGATTTCTCTCTTCGGAACCCGTCGACATCCCACCGGCCTTGCGTACACTGCAAATACCCCAGGCCTTCATCACAGTGAACAAAAAGGGACGTCAACCCTTTTATCATTCGTCCATTATCGTTAGCTCTGTTCGTCAACAGAGCATTCAATCGATGGCTGCAAGCTTCGCTCGTACAACCCTCATCACCACAGACTCATCCTCAACCGTCGGCAGTATGGTTTCCGAATCACCGGCCCTCAGCGCAGGCCACTCAGATGCTGCTTCTGGCACCGGAACGCCGAACTCCTCCCCTCCCGCTTCTAGGCCTCGCAGCCCCGAGCTGAAGCATCACGAATCGCTGGATGCCTCAGATCTGGAACCACTTGAGCCACTGAACGTCAAGAACGTTTGCTTCGTTGGCGCTGGTTTTGTTGGTAAGTGAAATCGTCGCGATGGCTATCGGCATCGAATTCTCCCCCGTGGCCGTGGCCATGACTCTTGTCCATCCTCCATCCTTGTTCAGCCCATGTTTTACAAGGCTTGAACTGCTTTATTAGCTCCAGATTCGAATTAGCTGGCAGGCATCACGAACTTAATATCGGTGGATGCTGTAAATGTCACTGATCAAATCTGACGCAAGCACTGTCGTCAAAATTGGACTCATACAGACCTCGTATTCGATAGGATCCAAGATGGAGCTAACAAATCACTGCAGGTGGCCCTACTGCGGCCTTGATCGCACTGCACAACCCCGACCTTACCGTGAACGTCGTGGACCTCAATGCCGACCGTATCGCCGCATGGAACTCTCCCCATCTCCCTATCCACGAGGCTGGACTTCCCAAGATCGTCCGCATCTCTCGTGATGGTACCAATGAGGCGACAGCCTTCCTCCCCTCAGTCAGCAACTCCGTGAAGATTGCTCCTCGCAAGCCCAACCTCACCTTCACAACCGACGTCCAGCGATGCATCGGCGAAGCAGACATTGTTCTCATTTGCGTCAACACGCCTACTAAGACCTACGGACTCGGTGCCGGCTACACTGCCGACCTGAGCGCTCTGGAAGGAGCGTCTGAGACTGTCGCCAAGTATGCAAAGGATGGTGCTGTCATTGTTGAGAAGAGCACAGTACCTACAGGTACTGCTCGCATGATTCGCGAAATTGTAAGTTCTTAAACCCAAGAATACATAAACCACAACATAGTCCGTCTTCATAGCAGAAATAGATCGAAACTAATACCCGAATAGATGGCCCAGTACCAGCCCGACGCCGAATTCGAGATTGTCTCGAACCCCGAGTTCCTTGCCGAGGGAACCGCAGTGCGCGACCTTATGCACCCCGACCGCATTCTGATCGGCAGCTCTACCACTCCTGCTGGCATTCGGGCTGCCAACGCCCTCAAGAGCGTTTACGCCGCCTGGGTTCCCGAGCAGAAAATTTTGACCGTCAACACTTGGTCCAGCGAGTTGACCAAGCTGGTAGCCAACGCAATGCTTGCTCAGCGTATCAGCAGCATCAACAGCATCAGTGCTCTCTGCGAGGAGCTCGGTGCCGACGTGCAGGAGATTAGCCAGGGTATCGGCGCGGACACTCGCTTGGGCAAGAAGTTCCTCCACGCAGGTGTTGGATTCGGTGGTTCTTGCTTCGAGAAGGATATCCTCAACCTGGCCTACATGGCCCGTACTCTCCACTTGGACACCGTCGCCGACTACTGGATGGGTGTCCTTGATATCAACAAGTACCAGCGTGAGCGTTTTGCCCAGAAGGTTCACCGCGCTCTCAACGGCAACCTGCGCCGCAAGAAGGTGGCCATCCTCGGATTTGCCTTCAAGGAGAACACCAACGATACCCGCAACAGTATTGCTGTGCACATCATCACTGAGCTGGCTCACGAGATGCCCAACGAAATCGCAATCTTCGACCCTGGCTGTGACCCTGTCGAGGTGATGGAGGAGGTTCGTCAGTCTATTCCAGACGAGCGTGTCGTTGAGCGTGTCAAGGTCCACACCAACTGGAGAGACACCGTCCACGGCTCGAGTGCGATCTGTATTCTTACCCCCTGGTACCATTTCCGGTACCCGAAGCAGGCCCAGACTACTGCCCGTCGCTCGTCTGTCTGGAGCAGCCCCGAGGCGTCCCGCGAAGAGGCCAAGGCTTTCATCAAGGATACTCTGTCCGAGATGGACATTGTCGAACTTGAGAAATTTGTTTCTCGCACTAGCACCAACACGCCGACGGATCCATTGAAGCGCATGAAGGCCGAGGCTGAGTGTCAGGAAGGCTGCAAGGGTTGCAACTTCGATGCCGCCAACGAAGACTTGGGCGACCCGGTGGACTGGGAGTGGGCAGCGTCGGTCATGAAGCGCCCTCGTCTTGTGCTCGATGGGCGTAACGTCGTCTCCGTTCCCGACCTTGAGAAGCTTGGGTTCCAGGTCCAGGGCATCGGTAAGGGACTGGTTATCTAAGATGGCGTGCCCAGAAATAATGACGAGTCAAAGAAAGTGGTAGATGAGCAAGACTACATGAGGCTTTGCATTTCGTTCGCATATACAACGACGAAAAGGTACATTGGACGAGAAACCCTCAAAACTGCACAGTAAGGCGTTCCGGTGGGCAAAGGCAATGGGCGGCGTATCGTTTTTTTATGCCCGAGGATCATGATTTTTTTTGAACCTCTGGGTTTCTTTCGCTTTCACTTCCACATTGTTGGAGGACAACTTTGGGTCTAGCCAACTTTGTAATTCTGACCTTTTGACTGCCCTAGAGGCAGAGGTGGGAAGCTATCGCTGATAATGGGATCAAATATACCCATGAGTTACACAATTCACAAAACGACAATTCTGCGTTAATATGTGACATGGCTACCAACAATATCCGAGACCCTTGCGCATGTCCAAACAAATTTACTGAACTTGAGCCTCACATCTTGGACCTAACACTATCCGTAGAATTGGAAGGTATGCCTGCAACGTAAACAATGTCCCGGTCCCGACTCGGCACAATCTCCGCCGAATAGCACCACCCATTTGGCTTACCGCGGGGGGCCACAGGTGCTTGCGCGTCCCCAGGCGGGCTCGATCCACCGTTTTTAAACTAATCAAACGGTAAAGGTGAGATTGGGTGGTTCCGAGTGACAATCGGGGAATCGGGGAAGAAATTGATCATTCGCTCCCCGGGGGTCCTGGTCCAATTTACCTGGTGCCTCGGTGGGGGCGATGGACTGGGGTTGTTCATTTGTTCTTTGTCCCTCCGCTATAACTTTATTCGAATTAACGAGCCCCTCGGCCCCTCCCCCTCGGGTATTCCACTGGGATAACGGTTTAGATTTTGAGCGTGACGGTTGTGAGACCATAATGACCCTTGGAGTATTCCTTACGGAGGACGAATACAGATATAGGAGGAATTTCGCCCAGATTGACGAGATTGTGTTGTGGGTTTGGGTAATATGTTCGTTGGGGGGATATCCGCTCATAGCTTGATGATTGACTCGCATACGCGGGGCTTTTTACGCGGTACGAATTGGTAGGCTCTACAAATTGCCAGACCCGATCTTCCGTTTTACTCTCAATCGTCATTTGACCGTATTGACCGGGAGGGCAGCCGAGAGAGAAAGACCTGCAAATTGCAATATGCGCTCAATGAATCTGTGGATGACGATCTTGCGACATTCCCGTCGGCGGCTCTTTCGGAGACGTTTGTGATAGATTACCTTGCAACTTTTTTCCCCCAGCGATATGCCACAGCCCCCAGCCAGCCGGGTGGATAAGATGGGTGTTCCGCTGGGACCGTGTAGCGCGTCCAATTGGCGGGATCTACCAGGCGTTGAAAGCACCAAACTTTGGAGCGTTGTTATCAATCAATGTTTCACACGGCTACTTTACGCCCAGGCTTGCCTTTGCGCTACGGATACGCTACGGATACTTTCTATCAAACGTTGACCCTCTACCCGGTGGGAGACCAGAGATCGCAATATGGTGTTTGGATGTTTGGGGATCCAAGTACCTTGGGCTCCCGTTTTGTTTTTTTCCTTTCTGTGACGCGATGGTCGCTTTGTAGACGGGAGGATGCGGCTCATTGAGTGACGGGTTGATTGCTGGTGGCGTGGTTGACCGTTTGGCGCCATTAACGGACCGAGAAAAGCTTGGCTCTCTGCCTGCAGATTTGCCCCTGAGTTTGGTGCGTCGTGGTGCAACGACAGCCCACCCTTTGGAACGAGGCATTGATGCTGTGATGGAGTAAAATCTGACCATTTGGTGGACTTTCTTTCTGGGATTATATGAGAGACTACCGAACAAGTGCCGATGTGGATTGTTTGGAGATACCCAAACCTTTGA